GGAGCGGGGAAGCGCTGTCGCGCCGAGTCGCCGGTGTCACGCCCAGAGCCAGCGTAGCGGGTATGGAATGAGTTTGTTTTCCTGTGGTTTCTGCCCGTCCGACCCTGTTTGAAGGGGTGGGTTTGGGGTTTGTTTTCTCCCGTTAACGCGTTCCGCGTGGTTCGGTGCGTTTTCTGCCCGGCCTAGAGCTGCACGGCTGTCCCAAGCAATGCTTGAGGGGAGCGGGGCTCTCGGCCCACTTACAGCTGAGGGAAACCCTGCCTTAGACCGGCGGGTCGGTTTTGCGCGTTAAAGCCGCTTTCAGGATTTAGGTGTAGTTTTTCGTGGTGTTTTGCTCTGCTGACAACAGCTCCTGCAGGTAGGAAGCGAAGTGAAATGGGTCGCCTGTACTTTCCAGTCTGCCTCTACCGGGACATGGTACACGCTGGCTGAAAAAGCATTCCTCTGTTGACGTGACTCGTGTTGCGATTGAACAGTAAACCGACGCTGTAATATCCTACGTATCTCACGGCCCGATACCGTAGCTTGCATTTAAACAACCACTTCATCAAATGCGGCTTCTCAGCCGTTCCTCAGCTCGGGACGTACCTGGGTTCGGGATTTTCGGTTGCTGAGGGTTTTCTCGCTGCTGTTCAGGAGCGGGAGAGGTTGAAGAATGGACTCTCTGGATCACATGCTGACGGACCCCCTGGAGCTGGGACCCTGCGGGGAAGGAAATGGCACACGCATCATGGAGGACTGCATGCTGGGTACCACCAGGGTTAGTCTGCCTGAGGACCTTCTGGAGGACGTGAGTACCGCTAAGATGCTTTACCTTTTCAGAGCCGTGATAAACAGTACGTTTATCTCCCCTTGCGGGGTTTGCAGAGCAAACTGAAAAGAGGGGGAAATGTGTGTCGACTGTCCCGGAGAAGGTGCCAAAAAGGGCTTTGATCAATCTCAGGGAAACGTCTTTTAAAACCATTCCGTTATGTTCTTTTTCTAGATAACAATCTCTCTGACTTGAAAAATGCCTTTGGGAAAGTTTTGTTGGTCACCAGTTTTGAATTTCTTTTCTTGTCGCCAATAGCATTGTTGATTTCCTCACCTTTCCTCTTCACGCTCTGTTGTTTTCTGCGTTTGGTGAGACACTGTCTCGTGACTCGCGTTATTTAACCACAGAAGGCCTTACGGGCTAGAAGATCGTCAAGGACGCAGATGTGTTTTCGTCACTGTTGTTTTTTGCTTTCTTTAGCCTGAGATCTTCTTTGAAGTTGTCAGCTTGTCTACGTGGCAGGAGGTGCTGACAGATGCGCAGCAAGACCACCTAAAAAAATTCCTGCCTCGCTTCCCTGAAAACAACCGAGAGCATCAGAACAAACTCATCTCTGCGTTGTTCAGTGGTGAAAACTTCCGTTTTGGAAATCCACTGCACATCGCCCAGAAACTCTTCCGGGGTCAGTGAGCATAGTAAACTTCTGCGTATTTTCTGGGTTAGGTTCTCAAACTAGCGGTTGATGAAAACTGAAGCGTTTTTCGCCTCTTTCTTACAGATGGACACTTTAATCCTGAAGTTGTGAAATACCGGCAGCTCTGTTTTAAGTCCCAGTACAAACGGTACCTGAGCTCTCAGCAGCAGTACTTCTACCGACTGCTCAAGCAGATCCTGGCTTCCCGCAATGTGAGCGTCTTCGGGGCGCGATCGTCGCTTTCTGGCGTTCTGTAACGAATAGGTTGTCTTTACAACAAAGTGTCTTGGCATTCACAATTCTCGGAGGTCTTCCCTTTAATGAATGCTGCTTTTCTGGTTTTCCAGTGGCCCCTATAATACGAGAACATTAGAAACGTTGTTACGTTTGCAAATTTCAGGTTTTGAAACTCTGATGGCTCTCACTTGTGTGTAGTGTCTTTTTTCCATGCCCACCTTGTCCCCTGCTCCCTGCAGTTGCCCGTTTACACCTTACTGTCCTATTAACAAGTCATTCTGCCTTCGCTTTCTACCATTTCTGTCATTGCGAAACAAGTAAGATTGCTAAACGTGTAGGTGTATGAATTCCCCAGCTTCACTGGGGACTGGTATAGAATAGATACAAAACCCTGATTCCGATGCCTGTAAATCCTCAATGAAGTCTTCCTCTATGGATACTGTTGTCAGCTAACTGCTGCCAGATGAAACATGTTCATTGCTTGCTTATCAGTTCGTTAAGCTTAGATGTTGAAACATGGGATGTATGGATGAAGATGAGCGTCTGTCTTTATAAAACGCCCCACAGTGATGTGAGAAAAAGAATACAGAAGTGTGTAGGAAGTTATTTCCTCTGTAGCCGTAAGGGGTAAAATGTTTTCTTCAAAAGAGACAGTTTTTCATGTTTGTGTTACGTATTTGGCATGGGAACAGCACAAATCGATCTCGGATCAATGGTTAGGTTCCTCTCAACGGTCCACATAAAATGACAGTGAGGTATCGTACGTGGAGATGAAGGAGCAGAAATTTCTTCTTGGATCCCTCCTTGCTTCCCCCCTGCTTTAAATGGTGGTCTAAAATGCTGTTTTTAAAATTGCGTATATGGCAGATACTGATACTTTGTAAGGGTTACTTTGTAAAGAACTGAGGTGCTCAACGGCGCCAGCTCCAAACATTAAACTTGCTGAAAGCAAGTGAGTTGAGCTTATCTGTTCAGAACTGTAGCGGAGATTAGCTAACGTCACATGTATCTCGTCTTCCAGCACTTGCTGGATTTGGCTAGGAAAGGAGGCCCTGATATGACCCTAAGGAGAAAGCACTTCTCACCGACATACGACACAGAAGAACGAGACAGACGGACGCATCGGCGCTACTTGAAGATTCTGAGGGAAGTGAAAGAGGAGTGTGGAGACACTACCTTGTCTTCTGATGAAGAAGGTAATGCCCTGGACTCAACTAAAGACTTGAGGTGTGAATGGAGAAAGACAAATTTTGGATGTGGGGACAGCGTCTTTGATAGAAGAACGGAAACTGGACTCCAGCTTTATTGGCTGTGATCTAATGAACACAGGGTAATAGAATTATGTAGATTGGTGCTAGGTCTTGCAGAAATAAATTTATTTCTCTATTTATTTTAGATCTAAGCTCCTGGCCTCCAAGTTCTCCAGCACGTTGTCCAAGTCCACCGGTTCCCCTGAGAGTGATCCCCACATTGTCAACCTTGGACATGAAAACAGCAGGTGAGAACCAAACTAGGGGTCGATACGGATTTAGGGGTGAGAATTACTTTGAGACCCTGCAAGAAATCAGTTTGAAAATCTGTTGTTTGATGGGCAATCTTGTCACGCTTCATTTTTGCAGTCTCCAAAACAGTTGGCTCTTCTCCCAGTTTATTTATTTTTTTTCTCCTTGGAAGGCTAGTATTTTAACGCAAGGGTCTACGGTTGGTGTAATACTGCTGATTTCTCTGTTATATTTTGCCTTTAACGGTTGAAGCATTAGCGTAGTCCGGTTCGAAATACCTTGGTGTATGTGCCGAGGGAGTCCCTCCTAAGGTTACCGTAGTCAAGTCTGCAAACCCTTCGTGCAGCACAGCTGGTTCTCACTTCTTTTCACTTCCATACTTGCATCAGCAATGCAATCTGATGACCCGAGGAAGAAAGTACTGAAAATAAATTGGTTGATTAAAAGGATGAAATTCAAATACAGAAAATTTAATTACTGAAATTTGGAGATCGTTGAAAGTGGGAATGGATAGAAAATGGCATTCTAAGAAGTCTGTAAAGTAACAATAATGGAAAACTGTGCAAATAAGCTCTGAATGTTTTTTCGTTGCAGACAAGGTAGAACTTGGGGAAAGTGATTTGAAGATGATGTTGAAGAAGCACCATGAGAAACGAAAACGTCAACCTGTAAGATGTCAAGAAGCCTGGGGGGTGGGACTGCATTTTATCTGTTAGCTGTAAAGTTCAGGGTACTTCTGGGTGACAAAATGATTGCTGCTTTTTTTATGTGCAACAACCCTTCAGCCCTTTATCATAACCTGTATTTAATTGTCAGCGTAGATATGCAACTCCTGTTTATCCTTCTATCTGTTTAGAAGGATTTTGTAATTGTAGTGATGTGTTTTGGAGAGACGAGATTTTGGATTTCAGGGTTAGAAAACTTCCCGACTTCTATTGCAGTACATGAGACTATAAGCTGATCCCGGATAAGATCCCGGGGCATTTCAGTGCTTGGGTTATCTTCTGTGCCTTTGCTGCTATCTTAACACTTTGTCCTTTCCCAATTTTAATTTCTATCCCATTGGCCTCTG